ATATCTGTCTTGGCAAATTTTCACTAGCAGCTGAAGGCACATGTTAAATGTGCCAATTGTCAGAATCTTTTAAACACACGACTCTTCAGGAAGGGATTTAGTACTAGAATGGACATGCAAAGAGCAGCATAAGCACAGTTTGGGACAAGGGAGCCTATTTTATTTCGCCCTAAGCAACACTTGATGGTTTGGATGGAATTCAGATTGAGAATAAAATAGGTTTGCCTTCAAAACAGATCGCATAATTGGCTTTAGGTTTTAGTGCAATTTTCTTTTTAAATGGACCAAATCTTTAAGTTCCTCATAACTCAACTGTTTGAAAACAGCAGCAAACCTAACTGCCCCCAAGGAAATATATTCTTATCCTCAAACTGAGATGCATAGATTGGCCAGCCAAGCTGCGAAGAAGGAAACTGCTACAGCAGCATCTTGAGTTAAACAGCAACCAGCAGTCCCCAGACAGCACTGAGAATTGCAAATCTAAAGGTGTGACTTCTGTTTCACAGATTTACTTTGCATCAATCAAAACTACATAAAACCCAGTCCTTAATATCCATTCAAAACTATGAAGGCAGTTTAGCAGAAAAGGATAGAAGTGATAAGGCATTAAGCTTTTATGCCTGTATTTTATATCTTGCAGCAAAGCAAGGCAACAAAGTAATACTTCAACGGTTTGCTCAAATAAAGTTTAAAATCAGCAATCTGATCTACTCACCCTTTTCACCAGTATCCAGGGAAAGTTTCTTAATGTCATCAGTCAACACATCCTGCAAGTGGCCTTGTCCATGCTCTGCATCATTATCATCAAACTGAGCTTCTATAATGACATCCGGACTTCCAGCATCGCCTTTCGCTGTCTCTTGAGGAATGCAACTCCCCAACATATCCTCAGGGACATCTGATTCATGCGTGACTTCTGTTTCTTTGTCACTACCATCTGGCTTTATTACCTGAAGGAGCAGGGGATTAAAAAAAAAAAAAAAAAGAGGCAAGCTAAATCACTGGACTGAAGAAAGAAAACATTATCTTTCCTTTTTCATCTGCATCCCCAAGGAGGTGACAATGAATTGTGGGTGGCTGGTGGCACACTGTAATTGCCATGTAATTAGCCACAGATATTGCACAACTGAAAGAGGTACCTCACTAGGATAAAGACGGGAACGGTATGGCTTTTGCAATACCTCAACTGTGACAATAATCTATCCAAAGCGTATCTAGAGCGTAACCATACAGTTCCTGCCAAGCCTCTAATCGGCTCTCCAGAAGTTGGGAGTAAGCACAGAGAGGGAGGAGGATACACTACAATTTAAGGAGTTGCTTAGACCATTGTTCACCAAGATACACTAATCATCCTGGGAAGTCCCAAAACTCAAGCAGTTCCAGTGAATGCTGGGATCATGTCAAAGCACATCTCTGGGAGAGCTCCTGAACACACAATTAGGAACAGACTGAAAAAGTACAGACTAGAGAACACGGTGCCCTGTGACCTGCAGAGGAACCGGACTATGGCAGCTTAGTAAGGCACCAAGCTTTAAATTTATTTTAGTCTCTGGTATTTTTGTTAAAGGCACTCAATTATTGCTGTTACTTATACAAATCTCCTAACTAAATAACCAAGAGGAATGAAATCAATTAAAGTACAAATTACTTAACCATTAACTAACCGATAATTCAGGTAAGTAACTCTGACCATCATTACAGATTTGTCCCCACTTCAGTGCTGCAATGGGACAGGGAGAGGAGAAACGATATGTATAATCACGTCAGACAAAATCATGAAGCACCCACATCCCAGTAAAGTAGACGCCAGACCTGGATGGCATCCCTCATTGCATGTGACAGAGGCAGAAACTGTTTCATCTCAGGATATAAAGATCAAAATAGTTGATCCCTCGGACATAGATGCCTTTACTAGCATTCTTCATGCAACCAACAGCGAGTTGCAAGCACCTACCTGGTGCTGAAACCTAGATTCAGGTTTTAGTTTCAAAAGTGTTCAAGTTTCACTCAAGCTGTGGTACTTCAGTGTGAGATTCAAATCAGCACGAAATAACCTACTAAACATTATAATCACAGAGAAACTGAGTGACCCCATTCCAATGCCCTCCTCGCAACTGAGTTCCTCTCCAGCTGGTGCTGGTGTTCACCAAGCAGGGAACTCCCTGGAGATACTCCTCCAAGGTCCCCAGTCCTCAGCATAGCTAACCCAGTACATGACAGCAGCAACTCATGCCACCAGCAAGGCAAGTGAAGGACCCTTTAAAAAATGCAATTTGGGGGAAAAAAAAAAAAAAAAAAAAAAAAACCACCAAAAAAACCCAAAAAAGAAAATCAAAACCAAAAAACTTTCTGGCAACATACTTTATATGATAGATATAGTCACTAGAAATAAGCATAAATAGCCTCAACAGGTCCTAGCCGAAGACAACCATTCCAAGTATGAAAAATACGATCCAAAAATCTCCACGATTATTGTTGAGTAACTAAAAAGCAAATAGATCAAATCATACCTGTACAGGGCAGACACTCACCATTTTACATATACAGAGCTACAGTCATACTTCCAAGCAGTACCTATTTGTTTGTAATCTTTAAACAATACATAACAGAAATAAAATCAGTTTTAAAGTGAGGTTGAATTCAAGTCTTTAAAAAAAAAACCTCAGATGACATTACTTTGAACTCTTGTTACCTTTTGTGACTCTGCTTTCCATCTTTAAATTCATTTTAAAATATGTATGTAATTTGTTACCATAGCAGATTTTGACTCAAACATTAAATTGTGACAAAAAGGGAAAAAGTTTGGCAGAAGGTGGGAAAATGGCTGATTATTAAACCTGGACACATTTGGTACATAAAATACTGACACACAATGGTCTGGGCAAGAACAGTCTATTAGATTAGAGAGCTGACAAGGCTCCACACGCTAGTGACTCTGCCAGTGTGCCTATCCAAAAAGAAAACCAGTGTCAACAGTAATGCTTGGACCCTAACATGGTCAGATGTGGATGTATTCAGCTCTTAAATTTCAATTGCACCAGATGTGTGCAAGTGTGCAACTGCAGCAGGAGTTCATTTTCTTCAACCCCTTCAGGCTTTGCCTGAATTTCTTTCTCTCCAAGTAGTTCTCTGAAGAGTATGAGATGTCTTTTGGGTGCTAAATTACAAAGTTTTCTACACCTAATGCAGCAAACAACATTAAATATATCTGAATGATAGAAAGTGCTTCTCTAAAGATGCAGCACTGAAAAGCTTATGCTTGAAGAGTTTATGTTGCTTTAAAGAAGATAGCAGATACTGATGTCTTTTTAAATGCTATATGCTAAAATTACCGTGCTTCCCCCAAGCTAGAGGATACACACTACTGTCACTAGCCAGCTGTGACTACCTAAGCCCTCAGTCACACATTTCCTTATGGATTTGCAAATGGATTTTTAAGTAAAGTTTTCCAGAGTCCACAAAATCACAACCTCCATGCAGTGTAGAGCAGCAAAATGTCCAGATGCTGGCAAGCATGGGTGATAAGATTTGTTTTCTTTTTAAGGCCAAGATAGATCGTTCAGGCTGACCTCATACATAACAGAGCAGGGAATTTCACCCAAGATTTCTTACATCACACCAAAAATTTAGGGAAGCTGTACATCACAAGACTGGAAAGCTGCACAAGACTTTACAAAATCAGGAGCTCAATGGATACAATTACTCCATTTAAGATGATCAGAGTTGCTGGCCAACATGAGCTCATCACACAGATTCCAAAGAGCAGAATCCTTTTGTATATGAGCAGCAGCAAATTTGACCATGACAGAATAAGCATTTCTTACATGCAGCATCTCGGAAACAAGAAACTGATGATATTGCACTCTCCTATTTCTTATTATGCTATTGAAGCTCGTACATGACATAATGCATACAGCTAGACTATATCGGTACTTATTAGAGATGCAGAATAGATCAAATACACAATTGGCTGAGTCTATCATGTAGTCACATGTGCAGTACAGACCATCATTCTCTCCCAATGCAGTTGACTGTGCATGGACTCAGAAGGAGAGGATTCCCCCTTGCTACATATGCATTAAATGTATGACCCTATTACCATGCAAACATCCCAGGCTGCGTAGTTAAAGTGCCTTAAAGGACCTTAACTTCCTGACCTGGGAAGTCAAATGTCAACCTTATGGTTGTATTATTTTCATATGCTCTTTAATAATTAAAAAAAATGTTTTAATAAGCATTTTTATGAAAGTCAATTGCATATTTGAATGTCTGATCCTTAAGATAGTGGTTGAACAAGTTTTCTTCCAACTTTAAACAAACATCTATCACTGAACAAGCATCAAGTTTCTGCCCCACAGTGATTGGTTTGTAAAGTCATAGCTGACTGAACACAAGATCTTTGAATGAAAATCCCATTTCAACTATAAATATAATAAAAAACAGCTAGTGGGCAAGAACATCCTGGCATGGATATGTACAATCTGGACAGCAGAGTGATTAGCTCGCTGCATCCAGCCCAGTCTTGAAGTAGCCATCAAATGAACAATTGTCCTTACTCGGGAGGAATTTGTTCCAACAGAAAACTGAACCAGGAATCTGTGCATCTGAAAGCACGAGCGTTACCTCCTGAGCTGCAGGAGAAACTGTTTTCTCTGCCAGAAGCAATCTTATATCTGCCTTGTTCGTTCCAAGCTTTTCACAGACTTTCCACCTAAGCCTCACGTCCATACATGGACAAAGCCCAGGTCTGTTTACTCTCAGACCAGGTATGTGTTTTTTGTTGCTGCCTCCTCAATGGCAATAGCTAACAAGTCATACATTAGTCTATAACCTCAAACTACTGAACCAGACCAGTGATTTTTAATCATCTTTGAGCTATTACCCCCCAGACTTTTTCGAAATAGATGCACCAAGCCCCAAAAGTGTTTAAGCCTGACACTAATAGGTTTGCTTTTCTTCCTTACTCATCTCTGATCTCTAAAAGCAATCCATGAATCCTCATAGAGCTGAAGATGAGACATAGATGACAGCTGGACTAGACACAGTTGAAAGTATGCACCTTGCAGGGTTAAAAACTTTCCACATAGGGTCACTTTTTTTCAACAGAAGCTTGTGCAGAGACCTCCTTCACTGAAAGCATCTTGCAGGTAAGGAAGTAGGATCATCTTCACTACAGCTGTTTTGGACACAGATTCAATACAAACTAAATTCTTCATTTCACTCAAAATGCTGGTATTAAAAAGAGTATTTTCATATGGATACTGGGGAAGAATGGAGACAATATAGCACAACACCTCTTCTCCGTAAGTCAGTCAAAAACCAGCAAAATGCCTCATAATGAGTAATCAAACACAAAATGCCTAATTTATCCAAAAGATTTTAGAAGTGACAAGCCATTAATGGTAACTACCTTCACTGGGGCAGACAGACAATGCACAAAGAGGCTCCTCATACTGCTACAGAAAGGTGCAGTAGATTCACCAGCAAGTGGAAGTTGAAGACAAACTCAAAGCAGGCAGAGAGCTCACATTAAACAAGGAGGATTAAACATGGGAACAGCTATATGGGAAATAAGGTCTTCAGCCCAAGCCTACCTTCTGAGGTTTGCAAGCCAAGGTAAGATGCCTTTCTTCCAAAAAGTACTTTGGTCAAACACAAGTTCTGCTTTAGCTATAGACAAGTTATTATGCACAATACTGGGTAGCGAGACAAAGGTTAGGTCAGAGTTGTTGGTCTTCTCTGCAGTTGAGCCTTAGTTAAGCAACAAGTTTGAGAAACAGAAACAGGTTAAAAGTGGTTATTTCAAAAGGAAGACAGCTGAAAACAGGGGCTTTGGACCAAATTACCATCTCACCATTAAAAAGACCGTTGCTACCACAACGCTAATACAAACACCACATTTCATACCAATACTGTGAACACCTGCATCTATTAGTCTCCCAGCTTTTGC